TTTCTCGATCTTTGCCTCCATTTTTTCCAAGGTCCTGGATCATCTTCACTATCATTATTCTGAATTCTTTTTCTGGAAGGTTGCCTACCTCCACTTCATTTAGTTGTTTTTCTGGGGTTTTATCTTGTTCCTTCATCTGATACATAGCCCTCTGCCTTTTCATCTTATCTATCTTTCTGTGAATGTGGTTTTTGTTCCACAGGCTGCAGGATCGTAGTTCTTCTTGCTTCTGCTGTCTGCCCTCTGGTGGATGAGGCTATCTAAGAGGCTTGTGCAAGTGTCCTGATGGGAGGGACTGGTGGTGGGTAGAGCTTGCTGTTGCTTTGGTGGCAGAGCTCAGTAAAACTTTAATCCGCTTGTCTGCTGATGGGTGGGGCTGGGTTCCGTCCCTGTTGGTTGTTTGGCTTGAGGTTACCCAGCACTGGTACCTACAGTCTCTTTGGTGGGGCTAATGGCAGACTCTGGGAGGGCTCACGCCAAGGAAGTGCTTCCCAGAACTTCAGCTGCCAGTGCCCTTGTCCTCATGGTGAGCCACAGCCACTCCCGCCTCTGCAGGAGACCCTCCAACAGTAGCAGGTAGGTTTGGTTCAGTCTCCCCTGGGGTCACTGCTCCTTTCCCTGAGTCCCAATGCGCACACTATTTTGCGTGTGCCCTCCAAGAGTGGAGTCTCCATTTCCTCCAGTTCTCTCGAAGTCCTGCAATCAAATCCTGCTATCCTTCAAAGTCTGATTCTCTAGGAATTCCTCCTCCCGTTGCCAGACCCCCAGGTTGGGAAGCCTGACGTGGGGCTCAGAACCTTCACTGCAGTGGGTGGACTTCTGTGGTATAAGTGTTCTCCAGTTTGTGAGTCACCCACCCAGCAGTTATGGGATTTGATTTTATTGTGATCGTGCTACTCCTACCATCTCATTGTGGCTTCTCCTTTGTCTTTGGATGTGGGGTATCTTTTTTGGTGAGTTCCAGTGTCTTCTTGTCAATGATTGTTCAGCAGTTAGTTGTGATTTCAGTGCTCTCGCAAGAGGGAGTGAGAGCAGGTCCTTCTACTCCGCCATTTTGAACCAATCTCCTGCTCTCTTCATTTGAGGAAATTTTGAAGTTGAGTAAGTTAATTATGCATATGATAAAATGCTACTATACATGCAAACAAGCAGAGGACATAGGGGACCATCTACTTTTAGGACAACTCATATATTTTTCCAATGAGGAAACTAAGGCCCAGAGGGCTCATAGTCACTTCAAAAGTATACAGTAGGGCTTCCCTGGTGGTGCAGTGGTTGAGAGTCCACCTGCCGATGCAGGGGACATGGGTTCGTGCCCCGGTCCGGGAGGATCCCACATGCCACGGAGCGCCTGGGCCCATGAGCCATGGCCGCTCAACCTGCGCGTCTGCAGCCTGTGCTCCACAATGGGAGAGGCCACAACAGTGAGAGGCCCGCGTACCACAAAGAGAAAAAAAAAATGTATACAGTAGTGATTAAGAACATAACCTCTGGAATCAGCTACAAGGGTTAAATCCTGCCTTCACTACCTACTAGCTATGTGCGTTTAGGTACGTTCCTTAACCTCTCTGGCCTCAATCTTTTCCTCTACAAAATGAGTATGGCTATAATAGTATCTACATTGCTAAGCTGTTGTGATTAAACTTAATAAGTGAAGAGTGTAAATGAATGGTTTTGAACAGTAGCTAGCTTATAGTGAATGTTCAATATATGTTAGCTATTGGTTTTTATCTGTCCAACGACATGAGACAATTAGTAGCAGAACTGGAAGAAATATTGAGTTTTCCAAATCCCTGGCAGGTGCTCTCCACTGCGCTAGGCTCTCTATCATGTGCCATCAACACACTGCCTGGCCTATAGTAAGCAGTTAATAGATGTTTACTGGATGAGTGCAGAGGTGTCCACAGAGCAGAAACTCACATGCATAGGTATTTCAGTGACAATAATGGTAAGCCAAGTGGATCCTTGCTAAAATAATGATTTAGTTAGGAAAATATTCAGAATACGTTTCTAAATATTCTACAGATTTGATACCAATGGTGTTAAATATATGTATACATAAATATGTATAAAATAATGTGGAAATTCTATGCATCAAAATGTTAACACTATGCTATAAAGTTTGGAGTGGTTTTGTTGTTTTCCTTTGGGCTTTTCTTCATTTTCGAGTGTTCTGCAGGGAGCATGAATTATTTTTTTAACTAGAAGACACAAATAAATGATTTTATTTAAAGGTTATGGATCTAAAGATGAACTGAGTTCAAATGTAAGAATTACTGGTTTTATTGTCAGTAATTCTTCATAATTCCCTAGTTTCGTTATGAAATGTTTATGAATTCAATGTGAACAACTCAAGGTTATAAAAGTAATTACATTTAGCTTCAATTACAATTAATAATTGTTCCACTTCTGCTCACATGACACCTGGTGGAAATGGGACTGTGGTGTTTCGGCTTAAATGACCTATAAGCACACAGATGCTATCTAATGAAGAAAAAAAGGTTTTTCAAAGACTTCAGACAGACCACATCCTGTGATCAGAAATGTCACAATGGATTTGAAGTTACATGTCATATACTCCTAAATGAATGAATAAATAAATGTGCAAATGACCAATAATAGAAGGTAGATACCATGTAGTATGTGACACGATGTTGAAAATTATTGCAAGCAAAACATTTAATCCACTGGGGTTTTGCTTTTCAAAGCTTCCCCCTTCTCTTCTCCTTCTGTCCGTTCTAGTGAAGTAAAGTGAGTGACTACAAAAGTGCAACACTGGGTGCGGTGGGCAGCCTCTAAAATGGCCCTCAGGGATTCCACCTCCTCATATTCATGCCATTCTATTATCCCCTCCCCTTGAATGTGGGCAAAAGTGACAGACTGTCACTTGCAAGATGAGGTTACAAAAAGACTACAGTTTCCATCTTGGGCACCCTCTCTCACTCTCTTGCTTTGAGGGAAGCCAGCTGCCATGTTGTGAGCTGTCTATGACTGGTTCTTGCTTATATGGCAAGGAACTTATGGCTACATGCAACAGTTAGCAAGGACCTGAGGGCTACCAACAACACGTGTGTCAGCATGGGAAAGCAGATCCTCCCCAGTTGAGGCTTCAGAAGATTACAGATCCAACTTACACCTTGATTGCAGACTTGTGAGGGTCCAGAGGCACACAGTTAAGTCACACCCAGATTGCTGACCCATAGAAACCCTAAGATAATAATGTTTGTTGTTTTAAGCAACTAAGCTTAGGGATAATTTGTTATGTGGCAACAGATAGCTAATGGACCAAGGAGCAAAAAGAAAGCTTAAATTAATACCATACAATGTAATAAAAATAATAATAAAAATAAGACCCAGAAAAGCTAGAATAATTTGGGCAAAAAAATAAATAATGTTGTATTAGATCATAATGTAGAATTGGATTATAAAATAAATATACATATATTGATACTGATATAAATAAATGATTGAAGAAAGGGAGGAAGGAAGGCATATTTCTTACAGAAAAATTCTAATACATACTATCCTCCCCATACTCCAAGGAGGTATAGCTTAATCTCCCACCTACTTGAGTGTACTCTATCCAAAGAATAGAGTACGGAAAGGGAAAATAGTGACTTCACAACGGAGAAACCTGGAAAACTCTACCACACCTAAGTGGTCAAGATGAACATCAGCAGGGGTAAGTCATGTGGATATATATATCCCTTATGATGTAATGAAAGGGGCACTACAACCCTGTGGTATTCTTGCCCAGAACTCATAACCCAGTCTAATCATGAAAAACATAGCAGACAAACCCATAGTGGGGGACAGTCTACAAAATATCTGACCAGTGCTGCTCAAGACTATAAAGATCATGAAAAACAAAGAAGGACTATGAAACTGTCACAGACCAGAGGAGACCACAGAGACATGACAGCTAATGCAATGTGGTACTCTGGATTGGATCCTAGGTCCAAAAAGGAATATTGGTGAAAAACCGAGCCCTGTCCTCTGCTCTCTATATGTTTCTCCTCTTTGTGTCTTTTATAAGGATCTCTGTCATTGGATTTAAGGCCCATTCATATAATCTAGAACAATCTCATCTTAAAATCCTTAATTTAGTTACATCAGCAAAGACTCTTTCTCCAATTAAGGTCACATTCACAGATTCCGGGGGTTGGGATGTGGACATATATTTTGCAGGCCAAGATTCCACCCACTTACAGATGTTAAACATTAGGGGAAGATGGGTGAAGTGTATATGAGAACTTGCTACACACTCTTTGTAAATTTTCTATACACATAAAATTATTCCAAAATAAGAAGTGTACTTAATAAAATAGTTAAGCAAACTTGGCTTATGACATATTCAGAGAATGAAACCATGAAAAGAAGCATCCACAGACAGATATCCCTATGTAGCCAGCAAAATTGGTGGCAGCTGTTACTATAAATTTGTGAAGAATAACACGTATATTAATAACAATACTCTTGGATTACTTTTGGTTTTTGAAAACATGTCTAAATCACCAGAGATGGAAAACCATCCTGATCTTTCAAATACCTTCAACCAGAATTTGGAAGTGAAGAATGTGAAATTGCTTTGTTTGGTTACTTTTCCTCCCCTTTTATTTTTATTTTTTAAATTTTATTTATTATTTTTGGCTGCGTCAGGTCTTCGTTGCTGCATGTGGGCTTCCTCTAGTTGCGGCGAGCGGGGGCTACTCTTCGTTGCAGTGCGTGGGCTTCTCATTGCGGTGGCTTCTCTTGCTGCAGAGCACAGGCTCTAGGCGCATGGGCTTCAGTAGTTGTGGTGTGTGGGCTCAGTAGTTGTAGCTCGTGGGCTCTAGAGCGCAGGCTCAGTAGTTGGGGCGCACAGGATTAGTTGCTCTGCAGCATGTGGGATCTTCCCGGACCAGGGCTTGAACCCGTGTCCCCTGCATTGGCAGATGGATTCTTAACCACTGCACCACTAGGGAAGACCCCTCCCCTTTTATTTTATTTTATTTTTTTTGAAGTAAGAAGAAATCATTTTAATATACATATTTTCACTCAGTTAATTCAACATGATTTCTACTAGGCATGCATACCCATTTAGTTTGATTTGCTTCATAGTTATTTATTTTTCAAAATGCAGCAACCCTCCCAATGAGATAGTTGAGTTGAACTCTTTATTCTTAAAGAGTACAATGTACCTTGTCCTCAAAGAGTTTTATCAACTTTAACATTTTCAAAGAGCCCTATGAGGCTGCTCAATATGGTGGTTTTTCACTGAAACTTCTTATTTGGAAGATGGCAAAACAGACTAGGATCTTCCCAAGTCTACTGGTTGCTAGTATTCATATCGAAGCTCAGGTAGGTAAGAGGTAGAGACTGAATAATAAGTAGATCACCTCCAAATGCAGCTGGGTGAGAAAGCTTCATTTTTAGAAAGGAAACCAAATCATGAAAACCTTCGTAATGGTGTGATTTGTTTCAGGGTTCTTTTGATACTTAAGAAGGGAATTAATCCTGGTGCACACTACTCTTCTTTACAGCCTTCTAGAGTTTTCTTCTCCAGCCATCGTTCTTTAGCCAGGTGATTTACTGTACTTGCTGCAGAACTGAAAGCATGAAGACTCTGTCTCCTTTCATAATCAGAGGTGGTGATAGCCTTTTCATTTCCTGCCAAATGGATCCGACCACACTTTTAACCCTGGTGGCTGCACGTCTTCTTGGACAATACCACCTCGATTTATGGCTTGTTCCTTCTGGTATTCCTCCAGCCACATTAGGGGCCAGAAGTAGATGGGGTAGAAGGCGGCGCCGATCAGGGAGATGAAGCCGCCGAAAATGAGCGTGGTGCGCAGGTTCGGGGTCATGGCTCCAGCCTGTGGCCGCCTTGACCAGCCAAGCAGCCCTCACTCTTGGAAACCCGGATCCCGCCGGCGGTATCCCCCCTCCCCTTTTAAATTACAGATTTAGAAGAAGGGTCAATCACTGTAAATATATATTATTTGCAAATTCAACAAATCTTTGATTTTGAGTACTTGTCACATCACAGTAAAATTCCAAACTCTATAAATTTTGCTGTAATTTATTCAGTGCTTTGAACAAATGCAAGATAAATGGTTCCAGTGGCTGATCCTTCTTCTGCATTTATCAACAAAGACATTCCTACAGCTCAGACTTGTGATTTAAAAGCTTAAAATGATTATATGAAGTTGCCGTACTTGAACGTGTTTTTTGGTTTTTTGGTCTTCTTTCTGAGACAGTCCTATCTAATGGCCATGGATCTGTTTTCTTTTAATTTCCTTGGGTTATTTTCCTTAATATCGTAAAATGTGATCTATTATCTCAAATGGTTCATGTTGAAAAGTGATTTCAGGCTTATACAGAATTCTCACTCTTGTAGTTAGAACCCTGCACCTTTTAGTGTAAGGGAAAGAGTCTGCAATCAGATGACAATCTGATACAGACAAAATCTCAGACCTGGGGTACAGGAACGTCAGGTCCCACAGCCCTGGGATCCAGCCTTGACTGCAGGCCAAATTTCTTTGACTTAGGCAGAGTCATCCAGTGCCCGGATGCAGACTAACAGACAAGAGGGAAAACTGATTCTCCATTCCAAGGTTCTCTGTGCTTCTAAACACAGAATGCACAAACCTCCTTAAAAAAATCACTTAGAAAGCTCATCAGGGAGAGTGTAATCCCTGTCTTGTTCGCTCCGAGGAGAACATGCTACAGTTCTTTTGATACCCCATAATTTCCTGACCACCAGATTCTAAAATCAGAACCTATTCTTGTATTAAATTGGCATGTTTACCAATGTAATGAAAAGAAGGTGAACATATAGGCTACTATGATGTTTAAAAACTATATATATGACCTTTTCCCCTACTAGCCAGTTTCTAAGGCATAAAACCATCTGCTTTTCTCACCAATCCAGAGATGTCTTCTTACTTGTCCTCCTTCACCTACTCCTGTCTCATTTGAACCATTTGAACACTCCCTTTCTCATGTTTATATCCCAGGTGTGAGTTCCAGTCATCCTACCTCAAACCAAATGATCTCTGAAATGTTCACAAGCGTTCAGTTCTAATCACTAGTGCTACCTTCTGGGAGAAGCCCTTACTTCAATTGCAGAAAGAAAGTTTCTGACAGTTGTCTCCTTTCATTTTCCACAATCTGCTTGTTTCTATACCTTCCTAATCTTCCTTTCTTCACAGCAATCGTGCATTTTAATCACTGAATTTCATGAGATAAAGTTGCCTATGTGGCCATCCCTTTCCCCCAACACACTTAGGACTGTTCTAGAGGAAGAATTATAATACCCAGACTTTTAAGCTAGGCATTCACAGAGGGTTTGAGCTAAATTATTTTGGTAGAGGCACAGTATGGGGCATCTGAGTCTTAGAGTGCAATACCAGGCTCTGTGTGCCTGTCTCTGCTCCCCATAACCTATCCTTTTGAGGATCCTTGGAAAGAGCTATCCCTGGAATATGCATGGAGCCTTTCACCCTAGGCTATAAGATTCCTCAGCTTAAATGATAGCCACTACCACCACTACTCTCCTCAGAATCCTACAGGATTGAGGTCCACTGTCTCTTTCTTCTGTTTGTTGACAGGCTTCTTCTCTTTCTATAGCTCTCAGCATCTTCCACCTTCCCACTTGCCTGAACTCATTGTTTCCTCACTACCTCTAAGTATCATTTAAGAATTTGCTACATACTACAAGTTATTTTATCTATTCTCCTACAAATAACATCTGGTATTTCAAATCATAGCTGTGATGCAAGATAAAAATATGAACTTCCTTTTGTTGTGGATATGAATATGAATAAAAATGCTTATAAGTATGGCTCAAGAAAAACCAATTCATGGACAGTTAATACCTTTACTATAATAAAGAACTCATCATAATAACTTACAAGTCATTCAAAAGTGATCTAAGAACAGGGCTTTAGAAACTAATTAAGTTGTGACATCTGGACTACATAGATCAATCAACAAGACTAGAGAGAAATACTGAAAGAGTGAGATTTTCAGTCAGGAGATTAAGGCTCAAATCCTGTCTCTAACGCTTATTAGCCATGTGACCTTGAGGAAATTTCTTAACTTTTGAAGTATATGTACATAATAATTTTTTTAGTAAATGAGTTATGGTCCCATTTTTCCATGCCTGCCTATACCCATTCCCTTTGGCTTCCAACTCCTCCCATTAAAACTAGAGACTATTTCCTCGTTCTCTGAGTCAGGGCTGGCCTTGTACTTTGGTCAACAGGATGCAGCAGAAGTAGTGAAGTACCAGTGCCTAGTCTGGGCCTTGAGAGGACCTCATGCGCCACTCACTCTCTTGGAAACCTACAACAACCATGTGAGCGAGCCTGTGCTATCCTGCTGGAGACACAGATATCCTTCCAGTTCCAGGAACACAGAAGCAAAAGCAGTTTTCCCTACTGACTCCACTATAGTAAAGTCCTACACAAGGGCTCTCACTGGCCTTGCTTGGGTCATGTGTCATATCTGAACCAACCACAATAGCCAGGTGAACGGAGCTCTTGGACCCTATGAGTTTTTTTTTTGACTCCGCTGGGTCTTCATTGCTGTGTGCGGGCTTTCTCTAGTTGCAGTGAGCAGAGGCTACTCTTCGTTGCAGTGCACAGGCTTCTCACTGTGGCAGCTTCTCTTGTTGCAGAGCATGGGCTCTAGGCGTGCAGGCTTCAGTAGTTGCAGCACACGGGTTCAGTAGTTGCAGCACACGGGCCCTAGGGTGCACAGGCTTCAGTAGTTGCCTGGCTCAGTAGTTGTGGCTCACAGGCTCTAGAGTGCAGGCTCAGTAGTTGTGGCACACAGGCATAGTTGCTCCATGGCATGTGGGATTTTCCCGGACCAGGGATCGAACCTGTGTCCCCTGCATTGGCAGGTGGATTCTTAACCACTGCACCACCAGGGAAGCCCCTATTAGTTCTTGTGCTGATCCCTGTGTGAAGAGAGGAAGCAGTCTGCACTAAAGGAGTAGAAAAGGATAGGAAATGTGCTGAGTTGCGAAAATAATAGTGCCAGAAGCCTGAAATAATATGTTATTGCTACCCTCCAATTTATTACATATGCAATCGTCCTTCATTATTACTGGACTACACCTTTGTACTTGTAGTCCATAGTCCAGTAAGGCAGAAAGAAGATAATCTGCCCTCAGAAACAGAATTTTGGGCTTTTTGCTTACATCTTTCTCTATAACCACTCTTTATAATCCTCTTAACCACCACGATATGGAGCAATTCTGGGAACATAAAGGAAATTAAACAAACATATATGTACTTCTAAGGAAAAGCACTTTATTATACTTAACTTTCCATTCTGTCACCAACATACAAATATTCTCATTGCATTCTAACAGGGTTTTTGGTGTTCTGGATACTGAGATTTTAGAGGCTTAAGATACCATGGCTGAATTTATACCCAGGCTTTAAAGATGATGTCTCTTGTGAACTGAATCATAGGATTGCAGAGACAGAAGAAAACTTAGCGATCACTTAAATCTAAATTGGGTGAAGGGAGACCTTCAAGATGGCAGAGGAGTAAGACGCAGAGATCACCTTCCTCCCCATAAATACATCAGAAATACATCTACATGTGGAACAACTCCTACAGAACACCTACCGAACGCTGGCAGAAGACATCAGACCTCCCAAAAGGCAAGAAACTCCCCACATACCTGGGTAGGGCAAAAGAAAAAAGAAAAAACAGAGAGAAAAGAATAGGGAGGGGACCTGCACCTCAGGGAGGGAGCTGTGAAGGAAGAAAAGTTTCCACACACTAGGTAGCCCCTTCGCGGGCGGAGACTGCGGGTGGCAGAGGGGGAAGCTTCAGAGACACAGAGGAGAGCGCAGCAACAGGGGTGCAGAGGGCAAAGCTGAGAGATTCCCGCACAGAGGATCGGTGCCGACCAGCACTCACCAGTCCGAGAGGCTTGTCTGCTAACCCACCAGGACAGGCGGGGCTGGGAGCTGAGGCTCGGGCTTCAGAGGTCAGATCTCAGGGAGAGGACTGGGGTTGGCTGCATGAACACAGCCTGAAGTGGGTTAGTGCACCACGGCTAGCCGGGAGGGAGTCCGGAAAAAACTCTGGACCTGCCTAAGAGGCAAGAGACCACTGCTTCGGGGTGTGCGAGGAGAGGGAATTAAGAGCACCACCTAGACGAGCTCTGGAGACGGCTGCGAGCTGTGGCTATCAGCGCGGACCCCAGAGACGGGCATGAGACACTAAGGGTGCTGCTGCAGCCACCAAGAAGCCTGTGTGCAAGCACAGGTCACTATCCACACCTACCCTCCTGGGAGACTGTGCAGCCCGCCACTGCCAGGGTCCCATGATCCAGGGACAACTTGCCCGGGAGAACACACGGGGCACCTCAGGCTGGTGCAACATCACGCTGGCCTCTGCCGCCGCAGGCTCGCCCCGCACTCCGTGCCCCTCCGCTCCCCCGGCCTGAGTGAGCCAGAGCCCCTAATCAGCTGCTCCTTTAACCCCGTCCTGTCTGAGCAACGAAAAGATACCCTCCGGCGACCTACATGGAGAGGTGCACCCAATCCAAAGCTGAACCCCCGGAGCTGTGCAAACAAAGAAGAGAAAGGGAAATTTCTCCCAGCAGCCTTAGGAGCAGCAGATTAAATCTCCACAATCAACCTGATGTACCCTGTATCTGTGGAATACCTGAATAGACAACGAATCATCCCAAAATTGAGGCAGTGGACTTTGGAAGCAACTGTACACTTGGGGTTTGCTATATGCAACTGACTGGTTTCTGGTTTTATGTTTACACCTTAGTTTAGTATTTACAGTTTATTATCACTGGTAGACTTGTTTATTGATTTGGTTGCTCTCTTCTTTTTTTTAATATATATTTAGATTTATTTTTCCCCTTTTTCCCTTTTTTGTGAGTGTGTATGTGTATGCTTCGTTGTGTGATTTTGTCTGTATAGCTTTGCTTTTACCATTTGTCCTAGGGTTCTGTTTGTCTGTTTTTTGGGGTGTTTTTTAGTATAGTTTTTAGTCCTTGTTATCACTGGTGGATTTGTTTTTTGCTTTGGTTGCTCTCTTCCTTCTTTCTTTTTTCTTTTTTTTTAATTCCTTTTTTAAAATTTTGGATATTTAAAAATTTTTTTATTTTAATAACTTTATTTCTTTTTATTTTCTCATTCCCTCCCTTCCTGCCTTTCTTTCCTTTTTCTCCCTTCTCCTCTGAGGCATGTGGCTGACAGAGTCTTGGTGGTCCGACTAGATGTCAGATCTGTGCCTCTGAGGTGGAAGAGCCAAGTTCAGGACACTGGTCCACCAGAGACCTCCTGGCTCCATGTAATATCAAATGGCGAAAGCTCTCCCAGAGATCTCCATCTCAATGCTAAGACCCAGCTCCACTCAACAACCAGCAAGCTACAGTGCTGGACACCCTATGCCAAACAACTAGCAAGATAGGACACAAACACACCCATTAGCAGAAAGGCTGCCTAAAATGATAATAAGGTCACAGACACCCCAAAACACACCACCAGAGGTGGTCTTGCCCACCAGAAAGACAAGATCCAGCCTCATCCACCAGAACACAGGCACTAGTCGCCTTCACCAGGAAGCCTACACAACCCACTGAGCCAGCCTTAGCCACTGGAGGCAAACACCAAAAATAACAGGAACTAAGAACCTGCAGCCTGCGAAAAGGAGACCACAAACACAGTAAGTTAAGCAAAATAGGAAGACAGCAAAACACACAGAAGATGAAGGAGCAAGGTAAAAACCCACCAGAACAAACAAATGAAGATGAAATAGGCAGTCTACCTGAAAAGGAATTCAGAGTAATGATAGTAAAGATGACCCAAAATATTGGAAATACAATGGAGAAAATACAAGAAACATTTAACAAGGACCTAGAAGAACTAAAGAACAAACAAACAATGATGAACAATGCAATAAATAAAATTTAAAATTCTCTAGAAGGAATCAATAGCAGAATAACTGAGGCAGAAGAATGGATAAGTGACCTAGAAGATACAATAGTGGAAATAACAACCACAGAGCAGAATAAAGAAAAAAGAATGAAAAGAATTGAGGACACTCTCAGAGACTTCTGGGACAACATTAAATGCACCAACATTCGAATTATAGGGGTCCCAGAAGAAGAAGAGAAAAAGAAAGGGATTGAGAAAATATTTGAAGAGACTATAGTTGAAAACTTCCCTAATACGGGAAAGGAAATAGTCAATCAAGTCCAGGAAGCACAGAGAGTCCCATACAGGATAAATCCAAGGAGAAACACACCAAGATACATATTAATCAAACTATCAAAAATTAAACACAAAGAAAAAATATTAAAAGCAGCAAGGAAAATACAAGTAACATACAAGGGAACCCCCATAAGGTTAACAGCTGATCTTTCAGCAGAAACTCTGCAAGCCAGAAGGTAGTGGCAAGACATATTTAAAGAGATGAAAGGGAAAAACCTACAACCAAGATTACTCTACCTGGCAAGGATCTCATTCAGATTCGATAGAGAAATTAAAACCTTTACAGACAAGCAAAAGGTAAAAGAATTCAGCATGACCAAACCACCTTTATGACAAATGCTGAAGGAACTTCTCTAGGCAGGAAACAAAAGATAAGGAAAAGACCTACAATAACAAACCCAAAAACAATTAAGAAAATGGTAATAGGAACATACATATCAATAATTATCTTAAATGTAAATGGATTAAATGCTCCCACCAAAAGACACAAACTGGCTGAATGGATACAAAAACAAGACCCATATATATGCTGCCTACAAGAGACCCACTAGGGACCTAGGGACCTAGGAGACCTAGGGACACATACAGACTGAAAGTGATGGGATGAAAAAAGATATTCCATGCAAATGGAAATCAAAAGAAAGCTGGAATAGCCATTCTCATATCAGACAAAATAGACTTTAAAATAAAAATTATTTCAAGAGACAAAGAAGGACACTACATAATGATCAAGGGATCAATCCAAGAAGAAGATATAACAATTGTAAATATATATGCACGCAACATAGGAACACCTCAATATATACGGCAACTACTAACAGCTATAAAAGAGGAAAGCCACAGTAACACAATAATAGTGGGAGACCTTAACACCTCACTTACACCAATGGACAGATCATCAAAACAGAAAATTAATAAAGAAACACAGCTTTAAATGACACAACAGACCAGATAGAGTTAATTGATATTTATAGGACATTCCATCCGAAAAGGGCAGATTACACTTTCTTCTCAAGTGCGCACGGAACAGTCTCCAGGATAGATCAGATCTTGGGTCACAAATCAAGCCTCAGTAAATTTAAGAAAACTGAAATCATATCAACCATCTTTTCTGACCACAGTGCTATGAGATTAGAAATCAATTACAGGGAAAAAAAGGTAAAAAAACACAAAAACATGGAGGCTAAACAATACGTTACTAAATAACCAAGAGATCACTGAAGAAATCAAAAAGGAAATCAAAAAATACCTTGAGACAAATAACAATGAAAACACCATGATCCAAATCCTATGGGATGCAGCAAAAATACACCAAAGTTAGCAGAAGGAAAGAAACCATAAAGATCAAATCAGAAATAAATGAAAAAGAAAGGAAGGAAACAATAGCA